GCTCCCCCCAGCCCCGTCCTGGGGCGTGCTGGGCATATGGGTCAGGCGGTCCTGTCCCCACAGTCCTCATCGACGGTGTGGAGTGGAATGACGTCAAGTTCTTCCAGCTGGCGGCCCAGTGGTCCTCCCATGTCAAGCACTTCCCTATCTGCATCTTCGGACACTCCAAGTCCGCCTGCTAGCCCCACCCCGGAGCCCTGGACGGCGCGCGCCAGGAGGGCCCAGCTGCTTTTCTGTTAACATTTCAGTTTACTACGGAGACACTTAAAAACACAAAGAGAAACAGTCTTAAGTATGAATGTGCTCTCAACCTGGAAACTCACGGGGAGGTTCCCCACCAGGGCCTGGTAACTGCCCTGCTCGATAACCAGATGTGCCGGCGGGGTGGGAGGTCAGGCGGACAGCGCTGAGCTCTGAGAATCACGAAAGGTGTGTTTTGGCCTCAGGACCTCCCGAGCCCCCCCAGCGAGAAGGGTCCTCACCTTCGCGTCCTGTCCTTCCTGAAAGCCAGGACTGCTTCCTCAGGGAGCTGGGGTCAGGCGGGCAGCGCGCAGATCCACGGGCTGCCTACGGGCCCAGACACGGAGCTGGGTGGCCAGAGGCTGGAGGCCAGACAGCCCAGGCCTGGGCCCAGCCGCCCACCAGGCGGGAGACGCCCCAGCACCGCCCACTTGTGGTTCCCAATAAACTCCAGCCTCGCGGGCAGTGGGGGTTTTCTAGTAGCAGATATTTTTAATGCTTTTAAATACACGTTACAAGGTAGCTGCCAAAGGGACATTGCTCTTCTGACGTCCCAGCGGCCCCCTGGGGCTGGGGCGGAGCCAGCCAGTGCTGTCGCTGACGCATGTCCTAGCCCCCCCCCACCAGAGCACCCGCCTCGCCCCCCCCCCCGCCACTCTCCCTCTGGCTGTTCTCGAGCTGTCACTACGCTTCTGCTGGTTGCCTCTGCCCCAAACTCGGCAAGCACAGTGGCCCCGAAGTTGGCCCCAGCCCACTCAGCTGCCTCCTCCCGCCCAGCCCCCTGGGCCCGCCTACCGGCTGAGGGGTGTCTGGGCCCACGCCCACTTCTGTGGCAAGAGCTCAGGTAGCGCAGCCTGAGCACAGGCGCCGAGCCCGCTGGAGCCGTAGGTACCGCTGGGAGTACCCCGAAGAGGCGGGGAGCCCTGGCTTCTCTGCGCCAAGCTCCCTAGAGTGAGGGTCTGGGTCCGGGTCCCGGCCTGGGTGGCGGCCTTGCCCCCTGCCTTCCCATGCAGCAGGAAAGGGACACCCTGACCTGCAGCCAGAGTCCAGCCCAGTGTCCACAGGAAGAGCCCACCAGTTCCCATCCTTCGGCGGCGGTGGCTCCGGGACCCTGCGGTAGCCCGCCCACGGCGCCATGCAGGCTGTGCTCGGAAAACAGTGCCGGTGGCACAGGCAGGTATGACCCTGGGGGAGTGAGGTGGCCCACCCTCCTCACCTGTGACCTACCGGCTTCCTTCCTCCCCCAAGGCAGGAAGGGGTCCCTGGGCTAGCTAGGGAACGGGACAGGGCCTGACCTCGTGTGTGGCCCCGCCTCAGGGTTGCCTGCGGGCAGAGGACCTTCCCCAGGATGGCCTGGACTCCTCCTCTGACAGCACTGGGGACCAGGCTGACCCCTGGCTCAGAAGGACCAGGGTTGGAGGCTGGCCACTGAGCCCAGCACCTCAGGCAGCCTGTGCCTGTGCCAGATGTCTGCCAGCAGCCATCCTCAGAAGCAGGCCCTGGGACCGTGAGCCTCGCTGCTCTTGCTCCCACCACTGGGCCTCAGGGCCTTGGGTTCCTTAAGGTTCCTTTCCAAAGGTCAAACTCTGCAGGAAGGAGGTACAGGTGAGGCTCCTGACGTAGCTTCTAGCCCCAAAGCTTGCTTTGGAGGAAGGGACCAGAGAGAGCAGTCACATCCACCCTGTCGTGGGACCATCCCCCCCAAATGTGCCTCCCCATCCACTTCCGTAGCTGCGTCCTCGTGCACACGGGAGGGCACGCAGCGCCCCCACCCTATGCCCCTGGGCCTACAGAGCCCGGTTGCCGTCTGTCCTGTGCCTAAGTGCTATGGGGCTCACCCACCACACCGTCCCCAGGGCCCAGGAGGTCACACAGACAGCCCCAGCCACCGTGACTCTCTCAGAGACCTGTGCCTCGGTTTTCCTATTGGTCACATGCGCCCTGCCTACCTCATGGAGCTGTTCTGAGGACCCACGTGAAAGCACTTTGTCCCTCAAAGGAAGATGACACAGAAGCCAAAGCCATCTGTGACCGAGTCAGTGCAGCTGCAAGCACACGGAGGGCGGTGTCGGGTGCGAGGCATGTGGGTCCTGGGCAGGAGCAGCCGCCAGTCACCACCGGGCAAGGCCAGGTGGGGGTCAGCCACCACCCTCCAGCCTGGCCCACTGCTTCCTCTCTCCTCCCACATCAGCAGCCCCGGGGGGCCATCTCCTCAGGGCTTGCGGGCCAGCATCCTGAGTCAGTGTCGTCGTGGCTGCAGCTCGGGGAGGGTCCCCGGTTGGCACTGTGCTCACTCCCAGACGGGAAGACCTGGCCACTCTCCGGGGACTGGCCTTTGCCCTGGGACAGATTCCTCCTTAGGAGACAGGGCCACCTGCTTCTGTGGGCCAGCCGCCTGACCTGAGCTTGTCCCTCACCGCCTTCCCCAGACCCGCCCCCATGGGCTGAGGGAGACCGCGTCCCCACATGTCACCTGCCTGGCCTTGGTTGCCACCGCCGGGTCCCAACCTGTAGGCCAAGGGGTGCCCCTCTACGTTTCTGCAGACCCCCATCCATCGTCGTGCATTGTTTAGTTTCTAGGATGTACGTGTTGCTAGGGTTTGTTTTTTTGTTTTTTTTTTTTT